AAGTTAATTATCTGCAACCCATACGAGTAACTACATATGCAAAAAACAAGTTCTATCTTCTAGCCAAAATCCCACAGCTTATCTCAAAGATGATGTGTAAGGTAGAATGTGTAATGTGGTAAAGCCTATAGATTTGGAAGTGTTTAATTTGCACCCTACTAAAGGTCAGAAATAAACCTAAAATAGTGTTCCCAGTATGGATGAGCAGGGCAGGACAACAATTAATGTTAATGGGGAGTAGCACACAACTGAATAGGGTGCCTCACACAAGTAACTGATTCCTTTTAAAAACTCTGAGCCAGAGACCATAACTGCTAGAGACTGTAACTGCCCGCCAGGTGGAAAGTGTGGAGTATGATTTGCATAAGAGCAATTTGCATAAGAGAAATTTGCATAAGATTTCTGTCCTCAAAAAGACTGGGAGGTGGGAGGAAGAGCTCTTTTCTTAGTTATTCCCTGCCAGTTGGCCTAGCTGACCAGAGAATCAAGACTACAGGAACTCACTTGTACAAAAACCAATGCAAAAACATGGGAAACAAAATGTGGTAACTTTATCCCACCTCTCTGAAATAAAATCATAGGAAGATGTTTTGGACTAGGAAATGAAGATGGCATTAATTGCTTCCATTTCACCTTTGCTCAGTAGCTGCTTACTTTCTTGTTTCATTTTTCCTTTTTTATGACCCTAAAGAGTGTTTAAAAAGGTAAAGGTTCCCTTGCTCGAAAGCCAGTCGAATCCGACTCTAGGGTTGCGGTGCTCATCTCCGTTTCAAAACCGAAGAGCCAGCGCTGTCCGAAGACGTTTCTGTGGTCATGTGGCCGGCATGACTAAACACCAAGGCGCCCGGAACGCTGTTACCTTCCCACCAAAGTGGTCCCTATTTATCTACTTGCAATTTCTTGCTTTCGAACTGCTAGGTTGGCAGGAGCTGGAACTAGAGACAGGAGCTCACCCTGTCTTGCGGCACCCGGGTCTTGAACCGCTGAACTACTGACCTTCCACAGCCTGCAGTTCAGCGTCTTAACCACTTGAGCCACCGCAGCTCCTAGAGTGGTTATTATGCCCCAAATCAAAGTTTTACTTTATCCATGCTATTTAGGGAACAAGGAATGTGGCCATAAAATCTTTGCTCTCTTAATCTGAAGAAGAGTCCTCAAAGAGACAAGAAGACAGTATAACTTCCAGGAGGACTAAAATGGCACATCTCTACAAATGTCTGAGTTGCAAACTGTAAATTTTTCGTTGCTACTGGACCACAAGACTAGAGAGGCAAACTCCTCATTAAGGTCCTCATTGCTTGGAACCTGGGCCTGCTGATAAAGTTCACATCCCCTTGGTAGGACAAAGGCACATGTTCCAAGTTGCAAAGTTCAATGCAGTATCAACAATATTTACAGTTTGGAAAACCAAACACCTAATCTAATCATCAGATACCACATCAAACCATAAATTGTACCGCCCTCACTTTAGAACCCAAACCATGGTTTCAAGTCCTAAACATAAAATAGTTAAACCAAGGTTTAGGCTTGTTTCTGCTTTAATTTTCTGCCTTCTCAACAATAAAGTTCATTAGTTCATTCCTGTTACTATGGTGCAAAAAGTCTTTGGAGGAAGAGCAACAGGCAAAACTATGGCTTACAATTCAGAAATTATGCCAAAGCATAGTTATGAACAAATCATATTTACAAATCTCCTCCGAATCACTTCTTGTTTACTAGCTAACTGCAACCTATGCTATGAGGATTCAAACACAGATAAATCAGTAGCTTACTATGAAATGTTTCCTAGACTTGTAAGCATCATCCTTTGGACAGTGTCAAAATAAAGGCAGAGCACAGATTTGCTGCAGGATGAATTTCAGCAATTACAGCTCAAGAACATGGACATGCTGCTTTGAGGGTGTTGACTACCACCTTTGTGCTTGGGCCTTTTTCTGGCTTTTAATAGAGTCATGGGAGAATACCTATTTGGAACAGTTAATACTTTCTTAAGGAATGGAGAAATTCCAGCTGATTTGAATGAGGCAACCTGGGGCAAATATCTCCATCTTGGAAAAAGTGTTCAAGTGGATGGTTGTGGTATAGCTATGGGCTTTCTTGTATGATACCAATTTTCTGGATCATTTCAATATGGCTTCAACCCTAGTTTTGGCACAGTTTTGGCCAACAAACCTTGCCAGGAAAAAGACAGGGATTTAAGATGTTTCAGATGAAGGTGCTGAAAGAGGTTGTTTAGATGTTTGGAGAGCAATGTTACCAGTACATGGATCACACCCAGTCATTTCTCCTTTTCATCTTGGGCAGTGAATTTCCTGCATCAGTAATAGTTCTGAGGAGAACCAGTAAAATAAAACTCAATCCAGACATGACTGGGGCACTGTTGATAGTTAAGCAAATGGAGGATTACAGAGACAACCTGTTCTGGCCAGGCAGTATTCCCCCTAAAGGAGCAAGTTGAGGTAGCTTCAGATCTAGGTCTACACATGCAGACTTAATCCTCACTATGTCCTTTAGATAAGTAGCTATTAGGAAGAAGACCTTCTCTACAGTAGTAATGGAGGATTACAGAGACGACCTGTTCTGGCCAGGCAGTATTTCCCCTAAAGGAGCAAGTTGAGGTAGCTTCAGATCTAGGCCTATACATGCAGACTTAATCTTCACTATGTCCTTTAGATAAGTACCTATTAGGAAGAAGACCTTCTCTACAGTAGTAATCTAATTCTGGAACTTCCTCCCTACAAACATTTACCTGGCACCCGCTACAGATAAAATTAAAATAATTAAACAAAATCACCAAAAGCAACTATCCATATCAAACATCCAGTCTTAGAAGAAAAATTACTATTTCATTTTCTCATAGATGACTCTCTAATGTATATGGGTGGGCGATAAAGAGGATTTGTTGATGAAAAGGAAGGTGTTAGCAATTTTGCTACCTTCCTCTACCCTACTGTAGCCTCACAACTGATGTGGTTATTATTCCAAACAGGTTCCACAACCCCAGAAACAAAATTTTCCAAAGCAGAATGCAGGAAATATCCATAATCCTTACATCTGTAGAATCCAACCCAAAGTGCCTTCAACTTGAAGATGGGAGGTGGTGAGAAGACAGAAAAATAATGATGTTACTTGTGTAAAATGCAGTTTTCTTCTAAAGCCATGCTAATTAGCTTGAGGACCCAACTGAAAAATATAGACTGAAAGGCACTTATAACCAAGATTTTTCTATGTCCTTTGTGTTTATATGAAGTTATATCAAGGTAAACAGTTTAAAATCTTCCCCCTATTTTAACCATAGCAGGATGGATAAGCATCAGTAATTTAGTAATTTCCTTAATGTTAAACCTGGATTGTGTGTGTGTCATTCATGCGCACACAGAGAGAGAGAGAGTTCAGGTTCTTTCCCTTTTTTAAAACAATGTAGTTAAAAATAAATCTAAATATATACGTATTAAATCTGCCTTTATAATCCCCAGTCTGTCATGGAAGGCTGCTGTGAGACATTGAGCCAGTCATGCAGTCTCAGTCTAACCTACCTCATAGAGCTGTTGGGAGGATAAAACAGAGGAAGGAAGAATGATGTAAGTCACTCAGGATCCCCATGCAGGAGAAAAGTAGGGTGTAAATGAAGTAAATAAATAAATAAAACCCAATCCACACCCTATATTAAATACATTGCTTAAAAGACATTGTTTGTGTAAAGAACTGTGAGAGAAAGCACTCATTTGAAGGTCAAGTATATAAATATGGAACAACAGGTCATATAGGTCCAGGAGCTGTCACTGTACACATCAACTGGAGAATCATCCACATATATATACCTGGGTGATCTTGTTCTTCCTATTTTATGCTATTTATAATTGCTTAACCTGAACAAACTCTGTGTGCTGGGATCAAGGGTGAGAGGAATGCTTCTTAGAGATTTTACATTATTAGCTTGGCCTGAAGGGAACACAACTCAGTAGTAAAGCACACATTTGCACATTCAATCTCTGACACAGGTATTGAGAAAGACCTCCTCCTACCTAACACCCTGGTGAGCCACTGTCAGCTATAACAGATAGTGGTGAACTAGATGGACTAATGATCTCAGTATAAAATAGATTCATATGTTCATCTCTGATGTCTGCAATTACTTCTTAAATTATGAATATTTCCTCTGTAAATAAATAACTTCTGTTTATGAAAATACTCTCCTCCTCACAATAACTAGTTATGAGTCCTTGTTCAGACAACATTGTGGACCTTTCATTTCCTCTGAACAAAGACCCCATGGGCTGCAATAATCAAAAGTTTTACTTTGAGGGGGGTGCAACTTAGCCAAGAAGAGAATGTTAATGCACTTTAGGAGAAAAAAGCAGAAGTGAGCCAGAAAACAAAGATACTGGAAAGTAGTGTACTCTCCCAAGCTATCCTGTGGGCATCTCTATTACTTACCCTGCTAGCACCCTCTAAAATTTACTGGATGTTTTTACTGGCTTGTCCATCTTCAAAGAAAAGCTTAAATGTAACAAATGATTTCCCATTATTCCAGAAAAACTAATGAACAGGCTTTGTTTGATTATTGCAGCTTTCAAAAGAATATGTTTTATGAAAGGTGACAACACGGGATAGCATTTCTGCAGTTCTTGAAAACCTATTCATCTTTTTTCACTTCTAAAATGGAACCAGTATAATCCTGCTTTGTAAAATATATGTCTCTGCAACATACAGGCAAGAAAAAAAGTGTAAGCCCCCCAACAACATGAATCTTCATATAGCGGAAAATTGAATAATCATTAAAGAGACAAAAGAAGCAATGGGGAATATTATTTATGCTTATCCACAATTTGTTTGCTAGAACTGCTGTAGCTACTTAATGTGTGGAGACAAAAAAGAACAAACTAATCTCAAAGCCCCAGGGCTGCACTAAGCCCCAGGTTGCAAACCTCAGCTTGAACAAACAGTAACATTAGAATATCCCTTCCTCCCACATAAAATCTTCTGCTACAGATCATTACCCGGTCTTTCATCCGCCAACTTTGAGCCAGTGACTTGGAACCCTCAATTTTCTCACAGTGCCTCTTCTTCATGAAAGCCAAGGGCAGATTCCAGTCAGTCATGTCCGACTCATCTTCTTCCCCAAGCCCCAGGAGGGGTGACTGTAGCATCTCAGACTCCATCAGAGGAGACAGAACCAAGGTAGTGAGTGATCACAAATCTCCACTCTAACGCAACGTTCAGAGAACAGTTTTGAAAGCAAAGGAATCTGGCAGTTCCTGTTCCAGATGAAGTGTTATGGGAAAAAGCCCTGTTCAGAGTTTATTATGAAAGTGTTACTGTTCCAGAAGTGTGCCACTGCTTCCTGCTCAGCAGCTGGAGGACTCCTGTTCAAAATGGGTAAAGTCAGGGACTACCGTAATCCCTATACAAGGAATAACTAGTAGTGTGTGGCAGGAAATTTATTATCACTCTCTAGATGAAGCTGTCAACTGCTGGTGTGTGTGTGTGGATCTTTTTTTCTGTCTTTTCATAAGTACAGAGAGAAACGTGAATTGTACCTCAATTTGAGGAAAGCACGTGGTTCCAAACAGTAGTCTTTATTGGAACAGGCCCTAGTCCACAACAAAACTATTAGTTATTTTAGTGGAAAGAATACCAGGAACAATTTATTCGGAACCAAATTTAAGCAGAAAGGCCTAGGAGTGTCTCTAAAATATAGCTTGTACTTCAAAATTCAGTAAAGTCAATCACAGCCAATTAACTGATAGAGAGCTTTAAGCAACTGTGACATCAGGGCAGGCTGGTACTCTTGTTTAGAATAAACTTTGTGCCACACAGACTGTGGGCAATGCAAGAGGTACTGAAAAGGGAGAACGTCCCTATTCAAAGGGGAAGTCTGAGCACGAATCCCTTTTCAATCAACAGCACAGGCACATACCAGATTCTAATGGAAGGTGCTGTTCAGACTGTCTCAGACTGTGTTTATGGAGGGAAAGTTAGCACAAATATAGGGAGTTTTAACTGGGCAAGCAATTCCTG